GAACCTTACGGGAAAAAAAAATAAATAAGTAAAGAGAAGAAAAGGAAAAAGAAAAAAAAGAAAAATCATGCCAGGTATGTATATGTGCACATTTCCAAAATCCCTAGAGGAGAATGGAGGAGAAGGGACGGTGTCTTAGCCATCTCTTCTGAGGGGGTGATTTCTCACTTTCCCTTTCTTTGTGTCTGTCTGTCTCTGTCTTTCTCTCTCTGGTGTACCCTATGGCAAAAACGTTTTTTTAAAAAAAAAAAAGAAAGAAAAGAAAAGAAAAGAAAAGAAAAGAAAAGAGAAAAGAAAAGAAAAGAAAACCTGCCAGCCTTGAGCAATAGGCTCTGCCTCGTGAGGGGTCAGGAGGAACAGTTAGCCCTCGCCTTTCAGCCTGGCTAGGAGCTGAAATGAAACACCACCCACCAACCATCCATGCTGATAAAATAACGACAGCAGTAATAGCCAGCCCTCCCAATCACTGCACGAACAACACGCCAGGCACTGCCTACACTTTCCGCACATGGCGCTTCGCCCTCACGATGAGCCCCTACGCAGCAGGGAATGCTAACACCAGGGTAGCTCCTAGAAAACATGGACAGCAGAACTGGAGGTAGATCACTAGCAAGTTGTAGAGGAAGGCTCCTTTTCCAGAGGTTCCCAGAGCTACCCGGAGGAAGTACGCAGGGAGAGCGAGCGGCCTCCCGCGGCCCACGTGCTTCGTGTTCTACCCTCCCCGCCGAGCCTTTCGCATTATACATGCTGGCTTCCTCCTCTCACTTTACCCTCCGACCAGACACCTCCTCATAGGTCTACCTGACTGCTTGACAGGTGTCCACGGAGTGAGTGACCTGAAGGGGGCAACCCTTTAGAGGCTCACAGTCTGATGGCAAGATTGCCAGTAGGGCCAGGTTTCCCTGTGTGAGGACAATATGAGAACCTGTACCCTAAGCCTGCCTGGAGGGGCAAAAAGGAGTCAGAAAAACTAGCTCCTATTCTTACGATGGCCAGGCAGAGCCTCCCTTGCCACCTCCCTCAGCAGACTGGGTGTCCCGGGCACTGGTGTGGACCGAGCTAGCGCTGGGCACACGGCTGGGCGTGGTGTGCCGGCAGGTACGGAATGGCTGGCTCACCAGACTGAAGGGCGTGATGAGCTGTTAACAGGATACCAAGGCGTGGCAGACGCCACTATCTAGGATTTAAACTGACCAGAAGCAGCTGTGTGTCAGTGCTAACCATCCAATCAGAACACCCAAACGGGAGCGGGGTGGGCAGAAACACCCCCTCGCCCCAGGGGTGCTAAATCACCTCACCTCACTCTGCCTTCCCATGTCTACTGCCCTCTGCCATCCCTGCCTTCCCGTACCCACAGCCCACGGTGGCCGGGACCCTCCTAAGCTCACAGGCTGACGTGTGTGAATGTCCCCTCCTGTCCCTTTCACCTCCAGAGTCCTTCCTGCATGCCTGGCCAGATGACTCTTCCTAAAATACCACTGCTCTGCCAGCCTCCTCAAATTTCTACCTGCCCTGTCAAAAATTTCACTGGCTCCACAAAGTCCCAGATCAAATGCACACTCCTAAGCTTAGCAACTCAGGCACTCCGCGACTCACTCTCCAGATTGGGCCACCCCTACTCGCTCCCATCTCCACTGCGGTCCCCACACTTACAAGGCTGTCCATACCCCTGACTTCTGCTTTGGTGCCAGGCCCTTGCCTGGCATGGGCTTAGTTGACTGTTCCCCACCCTGTCCTGCCTGGGCAAGGTCTCCCAGGCCCCTACCCACCACCCAAGCTGACTGCACTGGAGGGGTCTGAGGGTATCGTGGAGGAAGTGACATACAAGCCAAGATGCTGCTCAAAGCACCTGGCAGACAGTATCTCATTTAACCCTCATAACAGCCTTACGAGGAAATACTGTTATCCAAGGCAGTCTGGCTCCTGAATCTGACTTACACTATACTGCCTCCCACCTAAAGTTGCACCTTCCTATCAGGCACTCAGGAGGATGACTCAGTGGGCTAAAGCTTCTAGCGCAGTGTGGAGTGCATAGCACAGGGCTAGGGCCTTACCGCCTTACACTGAAACCGTAGCCAGTAAAAGTCAAGGTCCACATTGCTCTAGCTGGTCCCAATATGGGCGGGCGGTTTGCAATGGCAACCTTTGGGCTTCCACACCCATCCTCACATGTCGGGGTGGGATCTACTGCAAGAGGAGATGGGACTGTACTTATGACCCCACCACTAGCCGTTTCTGAAAAAGAGTGAGTATCCAGAGAGGAGTCTGGCCCACCCAGCTCCAAATCCCAGGTCTGCCACTCAACTGACAGTCACTCAAGCTTCAAGCTCTGTAAGCCAAGTGCAGGCTAAGCTATAACTCAAGTCACATTTCTGGATCACAATCAGTCCTCAATCAGTGGTAGCTACCTGGAGTGGAAGAGCTGGACTCCCATGACACCAAATTCCTAAGCGGGAGAGAGCTGCAGGAGCAGAGGAGTGGACTATGTGTGTGTGCAATCCCCTTTAACCGTGAGAGCAGGCACACCCCAAGAGGCCTGGGAGTGGAGGCTGGCACAAGCCCCAACTTTCTTTTCAGTTTCTTGCCATAGTGCATGCAAATGAGCTTGCAGTCATATTAAACAAAGCTTCCCTCACCCCAAACTTTAGAGCAGAGTAGATGCCCACTCCCAACAATGCAAGCTCTGAGGGTAGAGACCTTTATCTCAACACTTAACTTTACCAAACTAATGTCCTGTAGCTTCAGGTACCCCCGACATGCCACTGTATTTACCTAACAGTAAGCATCTCCCAGCCAGGGGCAGGGTTCCGAATGGTCATGGTACCTGTCCCACTGACATTAATTTCCTTGTGCTAGCAGTTGTCTGTCCTGTTCCCAGTATAGTGTCTCCCACTTATAAATAGGAGTATCTGCTTTCAGAAGTATGGCTTATCATTTCCTTAATCTCAAGCTATTGATCCTTGGCTACTTTTTACAAGCATTCCACCTGAACCAGGCCAGTTGGGTTTTAATGAAAAGAGTTGGACACACACGTGGGGTCTACACTGAACTGAGGAGCTTATACACCTCAGGATACAGACCTAGGCACATCAGTGTCAACTCCATTCTTTTACCTTGTAACAACATGACAGGCTGCTCCTACCAGCTCCTGCCAGGCAAAACCATCTGTGAGCTGGAGCAACAACTCCGCAGGGTGCCTCTCCAGTCCCAGGTCTCTGCAGCCCTTCCCTGCTGCAGCCCACCATCAAACACCAGAATCTTGACTCTATTAGAAGCTAGATCTGTGTAAGGAACGAGTTTTGAAAAGCACTTACAGACGGGATAAGATTATTACCTGCTAAGGGAATGCAAATAAATTTCATTTGCCTATAAATTCCATTTGCTTACGTGTTTTTAACTGGAAGAGAAACTGATGCCAGCAAAAATCATGGAATTCAATCCAAAGTCAAGTGCATTTTATTACAGATTCTCAAATAGCTATTTCCTTCAGTATATAACTGAGACCTGGCTGTTTTCTGGGCCATCACATCTACTGCAAATAAAAACCACAGTGGTCTTAATTCATTTACCTATGCTGCATCCCCACGCCACCTCCCTGTCCTACCCCGACTCCTCACACTGGCTTACTGTTCAGAGTACTCAAGTGAGGGATATATTTGACAGTAAGAAATGACTTATAGGCCTAAAGGATACTGAGAACAAGCTGCTGAAAGAGCGAATGTGAACTCCAAGCAGCTAAGTTCACAGGCACAGACAGACTTCAAGTCACCTCCTTCAGAGTGAGGTGCTGTTCTAGGCCCCATAGTTACAGTTATGGAAAACCCAGACAAAAACACCTGCTCTCAAAGAGCTCACATTCTAGCCACGCGAAAAGCGCCTGCATCGCCACACTACTAGTTCACCATTAAAGGAGATTTCCTGTGCAAAGGACCTACTACACAATCAGTGGGCAAAAATGCCACTCCTCCCTCACCATGTTTGAGTACCCCATTATTACGATTTTGCACAGTGTCATTATGTGTGTGAGCAGTTTGGTCCAACGGGGAGAAAACAGTTCAGAGCCTGCCGAGTGTGCTCTCACACACCAAGCAGCCACCTGAATAAGTCACTCTACCTCCTGAGCCTCAGCCTCCTCATCTGTAACAGGAACAGCAAACACTTCAGAGGCCTCTGTGGGGATTAAATGAGCTACAGGTGAAGCCCACAGCCCACTCTGACAGCAGGGCCTTTTCTTCCACCCGCTGCAGTCTTTGCGAGCATCCAGATGAGAGCCAACTGCAGGATGCGAGAAGCCTCAGGTGTCATGCTTTCCTCCTGGGTCATGACAGGCGTTAGCCATAGCATGTGGGGAAGCGCCCCTCCTCGCCCGATATGCTGCTTGGAGCAGCCCCTCCTGGCCACTCTATCCACCCTCTCATGCTTTTGCCCTAGGCGCACATTTGCAAAACTTCCACCTACTTTTAAAGTGTGCACCCACAACTGTCCTGGAGGAGTCGTTCTGCACCCAGGCCTACGGCCAGGCCCACCCCCAAACAGGTCCATTTTCAGCCAGTGAAACTGGAGAAAGCCAAGCATCACAAAATGACAACGCCCATGTTTTTAATCAGTATACAAGACATTGAGAAAAAACTAAGCCAGTTCAAATTAGTCACCCCAGTTCAGCGACAGTACCCCTTGATTAAACAAGGAACTGGGATCCTCAAAACACTATAGGGCCCAAAGTCCATCTGTAAACGTCTGCCTGCACTGTATGGAAGGCACCCCACACAGGGCCCTGGTGCAGGTGGATTGTCTGGGCTGACAGTCCATCCTCCTAGACCAGGTAAGGCAGAAGTCCTCTGGGCCTGCCCTGCAGAAAGTTCCAAAGCAGGTGGAGGGCAGGCTTTTGTGTGGGAGTCTATGTGGACCTCAGAATCCTCCAATCGCCCCCAAACAGCACTTGTTTTCACTACCAAAACAAACACAAGTGCAGGGGGCTGTCTCCCTGCAGTTTCGCTCACCTGATCTGATGCACCTCCATAATCTGCAGTTCCAACCCTCACGAGCTGACAGTTCAGGGGGAAAGGAAGGCTGCGCCTCCTAGGGTGCATCGCGTCCAGGTCAGAGGCCTCTGTGGGGATTAAATGAGCTACAGGTGAAGCCCACAGCCCACTCTGACAGCAGGGCCTTTTCTTCCACCCGCTGCAGTCTTTGCGAGCATCCAGATGAGAGCCAACTGCAGGATGCGAGAAGCCTCAGGTGTCATGCTTTCCTCCTGGGTCATGACAGGCGTTAGCCATAGCATGTGGGGAAGCGCCCCTCCTCGCCCGATATGCTGCTTGGAGCAGCCCCTCCTGGCCACTCTATCCACCCTCTCATGCTTTTGCCCTAGGCGCACATTTGCAAAACTTCCACCTACTTTTAAAGTGTGCACCCACAACTGTCCTGGAGGAGTCGTTCTGCACCCAGGCCTACGGCCAGGCCCACCCCCAAACAGGTCCATTTTCAGCCAGTGAAACTGGAGAAAGCCAAGCATCACAAAATGACAACGCCCATGTTTTTAATCAGTATACAAGACATTGAGAAAAAACTAAGCCAGTTCAAATTAGTCACCCCAGTTCAGCGACAGTACCCCTTGATTAAACAAGGAACTGGGATCCTCAAAACACTATAGGGCCCAAAGTCCATCTGTAAACGTCTGCCTGCACTGTATGGAAGGCACCCCACACAGGGCCCTGGTGCAGGTGGATTGTCTGGGCTGACAGTCCATCCTCCTAGACCAGGTAAGGCAGAAGTCCTCTGGGCCTGCCCTGCAGAAAGTTCCAAAGCAGGTGGAGGGCAGGCTTTTGTGTGGGAGTCTATGTGGACCTCAGAATCCTCCAATCGCCCCCAAACAGCACTTGTTTTCACTACCAAAACAAACACAAGTGCAGGGGGCTGTCTCCCTGCAGTTTCGCTCACCTGATCTGATGCACCTCCATAATCTGCAGTTCCAACCCTCACGAGCTGACAGTTCAGGGGGAAAGGAAGGCTGCGCCTCCTAGGGTGCATCGCGTCCAGGCCCTATGTTGATCTCTGGGCCTGGTGGGCATTGCAGGGCTCTCTGGCCTCACAAGGGCATTGTGCGTTCATCCCGCAGGGCTCTGGCCTCACAAGGGCATTGTGCGTTCATCGTCCCTTTGCTCCCACGCAGCCTCCACCCGCCGGCCCTCAGGACGCGTTGCACGTACCCACTGGCTACACGGAGGCGGCAGCGGCGGGAAGGGCCCCATAGCGCACCGCGCAGCCTTCCGGACACAGGAGTCCCTTCTCTCGTTCGCTCCCAAGCGGCCTCCCAGAAGGGGCAGAGGAGGCCAGAGAGGACGCAACACCAGCACGACCCCCACCCAAACCGGAAGCTCTCCTGGCTTCCCAGAGGCTACACAGAAGGTGCGCCCTAGGTACAGGGGAGGAGGCACCTGGGTCGGCGGCAGGGCAAGGCCGGGGACGGAGGGGGCTGACGCAGATAAGCAGAGTGGGGAGAAGTCCGAGAAGGGGATCATGGAGGGGGGTGGGGGAGAGAAGTCCAGGCGAGGGCCACTTGCAGAGGAGGGGAAGTCCAGCCCTAGGACCGTGGAGGGAAGAGGATTCAGGCTGACGCCATGGAGGAGGAGAGAAACGAATCTAGGCTGAGGCCACCGGAGGAGGAGTGGATGGGGGACCAGACTGAGGCCATGGACAAGGAATGGAGTTTGGGAGTGAGGGGCACAGCGGCCTAGCTCGGACCACGGGGAGAGGAACCTAGCCTGGGCCAGTGGCAGGAAGAAATCAAGGCCTACTCTGGGCCAAGGGGAGGAGGAAAGGGGACTACGCCTGGACCACCGGAAGGTGGTCCCCCCTTCCTGCCCTAGTCCACCGGGGGAAGAGGGTCTAGCCTGGACTCTGGGGGAGACCGACCTAGAACAGAGATGGGCAGCTGGACTTCAGCTTGAGCCCAGGGCGGGGACTGGGAAGGGGAATGAAGTCACTGCCCACCCAAGCCGCCCGCGGCGACAGCCCCCTCCTGAGCAAGGAGGACGGTGTCTACCTAGGGTCCAGGACCCCGCCCCTCCCCCACCCCGAGAACCCTCCCTCTACCGGCCGGGGGTTGGGACACGCCAGCTCCGGCGGAGCCCCTGGGCTGGGGAGGAGGACGTGGGGCCTTTACCATGGTGGCGGCGGCGGCGGCGGTCCCGGTCCCGGCGTCTGTGGCTCTCCCCCCCGCAGCAGGGGCCACGGCGATCGCCAAGTATGGAGCGCGGCGCGGGGGGCGGAGCGCCGAATGGGGAAGTGGGGGCGGGGCTCCACGGGCTGGGGGGGGCGCGGGGCCCGGCTGGCTGGGTTCGAGGGGTGTGGGCCCCGGCCCGAGGGGTCCCCCCTGGGCTCTGATACCAATCCTCGGGTCCAGAGGTTGCAGAAGCGGGTGACGGTGGAGTGACAGTGCACGCGGTCCCCGCGGACGGGGATGCGGAAGGCTTTGGAGCTGGGAGGGGACCGTCCCTCTGCGCCCCACCCTGTGCACGCGCTCACTCCCGCCGCGGACCCGGAACTGGTGCGGACCGCGGGCCGCCAGCCTGGAGAGCGCGCGTACGGAGCGGAACCGGAGATGCACTCTCAGCGCTGCCGCTAGCTGTGGGTGGCAGCTGGCCCACGTCACACCTGAACACTGACCCTAAAACTAAAGAGCCTCGGGCCTCATCGTTTGCTCAGCACCTACTATGTGCCAGGCCTTTTTTTAGGCACCAAAAGTTAGGTGAATAGACAAAAAATCCTGCCCTCAAAGCTTTCTACGACAGGATAGTCATGAGAATGATTAGAGAACTGGGCGCAATAAATGCAAATAAGTACTTTACGATCTGCCACGGAGAACCAGCCCATTTGCCCAAAGTCAAATCTTTTTTTTTTTCCATTCCTCATTGAACAGTGAATTATTCGTTGAGTTTGGTCTAGAGGCAGGAGACCTGAATGCTAGTCCAGCTAATAATACCTTCCCTCCTGATTTGCTTGCCCTCCTCGGTTAGAATCAAATCAGGTCACCAGTGAGTGGACAGTTACCTGCATCAATGATGGGGATTATTTCCGGGAGCCAGGCTGTGTCCTGGGCCCTGTCTTCAGGGAGCTCAATTGAGTAAAAGCTTAACCAGATAGCTGCTGGCATGAAAAGCAAACAGGTAGTCTCGCAAGAATGGTATGGACTGGTATTACAGGAATTCTGTTACCAGAGGGCATGTGATGTATAAAGCACCTACTATGTGCCAGTTTGCTAGACTCTGGGCATACAGCATTGAATAAAATCGCCCAACCCGCCTGGCATGAACCTTGAATGTTGGCAGAGTGACAAACAGCTTGCACATAAATACAATGTCAGGGGAACCAGCAGTTAGCGTAATGGCTATGTCGCTGGACTCCCACGTAGTCAACTGTGGTTCGTGTCCCAGACCTGGTGGCTTAAAACTCACGCCGGGCGCGTGTGCGTGCGTGCCCAAGATCCCGAGAGGAGAATGGAGAAGGGATTGTGGCGTGACCATCCCCCCTAGGGGGTGATTTCTTGCTTTCTGTCTCTCTGTCTCTTTCTGTCTGTCTGGCGAGTGCACGTGCCCTATAGCGAAAACCTCTCAAAAAAAAAAAAAAAAACAATGTCAGGTGGACTTAGAGATATGGAGAAAAAGCAGAGGGACTACGAAGGCAGTCAAGTAAAGTGTAGCTATGTTTTGGAGGGAACGTGTAACAGAAAGAAACATTTGAGGGACTGGCAGTTGGCATAATGGTTACATCACTGGACTCCTACATATTCGACCTTGGTTCGAGTCCCAGACCCAGCAACTTAAAACTCACACTGGGTGCGTGTGCATGCGTGCCCAAAATTCCAAGAGAAGAATGGCGAAGAAGGGATTGCGGGTGGCCAACCCCGCTGGGAAGGTGACTTCTTGCTTTCTGCCTCTCTGTCTCTCAGGGGAGCACATGTGCCCTATAGCAAAAATCTCTAAATAAGAAAAGAGAAACATTTGATCAGACAACTGACAGGAGGCAGGGAGCAAGCCATGTGGATAACAGAGGCATGAGTGACAGCAAGGGCAAAGACCCCAAAGGAGACACTCCCTGGAGAGTTCAGGGGACAGCAAGGGGGACAATGTGGCCAACCTAGACTGAGCAAGGGGAGGGTGACAGGAGCTGAAGTGCAGAGCAGCAAGAAGATCTGACCTAGGCTTTGAAGGACTCCTAAAACTGTCCTAACAGAGGCCCAGGAAAGGTAAGGTACTTGCCCAAGTTCACACAGTGAAAGATAAAGATGGGGTAGCATTGAGAGTGGCAAGAAGCAGTCGTATTCTAGATAGCCGCTGATGCCTTTGTGGCAGGCATGAGAAAGAGAAAGGAGTCAGAGATGGTGCTGAGATGTTTAGCTTGATCAACACCGGGAGCATCTGCCATTTATTGAATTGGGGGAGGTTGTAGGAGGAACAGAGGCAAGCCATTGGAGATACCCTTGGAGACTTAAATGGAGTTGCCACATAAGCAATCAGATATAGAAGTCTGGAGCTGGAGGAAGTAGTCAGAGCCGGAAATAAACTTATGAGAACCATCCCCTAGCAAATGGTATTTAAAGGTATTTAAAAGCACAAGATATGGTGCCAGCAGGTGGCTCGTGGTTGAGGTGCTGGACTCCCACATGGCCAACCGCAGTCCCAGTACCAGACTCAGCAGCTTGAAATACGCCGGCATGTGTGCATCCATGCCCAAAATCCGGAGAGGAAACTGGAGAAGTCATTGTGGCATGGCCATTTCCTCATGGGGTGATTTCTCATTTTCTCTCTGTCTTTCCAACAAGCGCACACACCTTAGAGCAAAAATCTCTCTCCAAACAGCATGAGACAAGCGGGTCAATGAAGAGAGAAGAAATCAAGAGGATGAAGGGGAACCAGCAAGGACACAGAGGAGCCAGGAAGAGGACCAAGAGAAGGACACGAGAGACAGATTCATCCTCTTGGAAGCCACGTGATAGGGCATGAGAGAGTTTTCTGGTATTAGTGACACTTCAACTGTACACTTAAAAAAAATAAGATTGAAAGGAAACTTTGTTCAAAATGTGTGACTTGGGGACCAGCAGTTAGCGTAATGGCTATGTCACTGGACTCCCACGTAGTCGACCACGGTTCACGTCCCGGACCCGGTGGCTTAAACTCACGCCAGGCACATGGGCGTGCATACCCAAGATCCCGAGAGGAGAATGGAGGAGAAGGGATTGCGGTGTGGCCATCCCCCCTGGGGGGTGATTTCTCGCTTTCTATCTCTATGTCTCTCTCTGTCTTTCTGGCGAGCAAAAACCTCTCCAAAAGAAGAAAAAAAAAATGTGTGACTTGTGCTTTTTTTTTTTAAGATAGATTTTTGCTATAGGGTGCATGCACTCACCAGAAAGACAAACAGAAAGCAAGAAATCACCTCCCTAGAGAGGATGCCCACCTGCAGTCCCTTCTCCATTCTCTTCTTGGGAATTTGGGCACACATACACACGCACCCAACATGAGTTTTAAACCACCGGGTCCAAGACTCAAACCATGGGAGTCCAACAATGTAACCATTATGTCATCTGTTGGTCCTGACCTGTGTTTTCTTACTTAACCTCACTTAACCCTGTGAGGGCAGTACTATTATTATTCCTGTTTTACACTTGAGGGAGCCAGGCACAGGACAGTTATGCAACTTGCAGGAGGTCATGCAACTAATGAGTTCAAAACTAGGCAGTCTGAGATCAGAACCAGCACTCATATCCCCAGGTCTGATCGTGTTGCTTTCCTGCTCAGAAGCCTTCAAAAATTAATTTACCTTGGGAACCAGCAGTTAGCATAATGGCTATGTCGCTGGACTCCCACGTAGTTGACCGCGGTTCACGTCCCAGACCCAGTGGCTTAAAACTCATGCCGGGCGCGTGTGCGTGCGTGCCCAAGATCCCGAGAGGAGAATGGAGGAGAAGGGATTGCGGTGTGGCCATTCCCCCTGGGGGGTGATTTCTCGCTTTCTATCTCTATGTCTCTGTCTGTCTGGCGAGCACACGCACCCTATAGCGAAAAACCTCCCCCCCAAAAAATAAAAAGTTAATTTACCTTAAAATAAGAGGGCTCAGGAACAATCCATTTTCTCTCGATCATGGGGATCCCCATGCTTCTTGTGGTCTCTCTGCTACTTTTTTTTCTCTATATTAACTGGCATCAGTAGCTCTACCTCCAAGGGGGCCATCCTGGTAGTTTGGGTCACTCCTTCATCCTCTGCCTCCCCTTCTTCTACTAACTGCCAAATTCTTTTTTGCAGTTCAGAGTCTCAAGACAGAATCTGATTGGCCCAACTCATCTTTTAATGACAGGTGTTCATTGGACAGGTCACCGGTCAGTTCATAGATTGGCTGCCCGTAGGCCAGATCCCAACTTTAGACCCATCGACTACTGCTATGAGCGTGGAGGTGTATGGTGTTTACTGTGGCCACTGCTGAGGGGCTGTGGGAAGACAAGCACTCTAACTATTTTTGGAACTATTTCTCCTGCCCTCCTCTTTAATAAACCCTACCCTCTTGAAATTTACATTGTATTTTTCTACTTATCACCCCTCCCCTTATGCTCTCATGAACTGACCTCCACCTCTGCTCCACAGTTTTCTTTATGACTTCAGCATCCATGAGTATAATCCATCAGAAATCGTATTGACTCATTGACTTCCACCCTGCTGATGAGTTTCCTGCCCTTCTCCCTGGGTCCCCGCTCCCATTGTCTCAGCCTGGACTGCCTCTCATCAATAATGTGCTCTCGAAAAACACACTCATGAGGATCTTAAGTCCAACTTGACCTCCTCACTATAGTATCACCAGATCTTTGACCTGCCAGATGTTCACATTTCTCCTCCCTCTTGTGCTCACATCCCTACTTACCTAACTTAGTAATGATCGTTATACTTCTTCCTTGCGGATACCCATAAGCCCTCTACCCACCCCTTCGCCTAACTTGTCTGTCCCTCGCTAAGCCTAACTGTTCTCCCACTCTCTGCCTGCACTAGAATATCTGAACATTGCTGCAAAACGAAAAGTGATGCTGTCACTTTTGCTTGCTGTCCCCAAATTTCAGATGAGCCCCTCAATTCTGCCCAGCCATCCTACTGTATTCCTCTGCTCTATTCAACTCCCCCACTCTCTAAAATGATTGTTTTAACTTTTTTTTCATTGTCACAGGGCACTTGCCAGAGAGAGACAGAAAAGACCCCTGGTGGAACATGGTCACACCACGATCTCTTCTCCTTTACTTCTCCGCCCTGTTGGAATTTTGGGTACATACATACATGCATTTGGAGCGTTTTTCAAGCCAACTGGGTCTGGCATTCAAACTGCAGTTGGCCATGTGGGATCCAGCTCTTTTCACTTGGTTACAGGGCTAGCCCAAATGAGAATTTTTTTTCACCCTTCCTCCTCAAACTTCCTTTGATCTCTTCTTATTTTTCATTTTAATCAGATGGCTTTGCCTCCCATTTCACAGAGATGATGGAATAAAACAGACAGGAGCTCTGTCATCGACCACCCTCTCTGCATCTTCCAGTTTCTGCCTTCCCCACTGTTACAATGAATGAAGAGCTCGTGTTTCTATCAGAACCAACCCTCCACTCTGAGTCTTCCTTCTCTGATTTCTCCCTCTATACTGGATCGTTTCCATCTGCTTCACAAAAACATGTTGCAATAGTGTGTATTGTGGGGACCAGCAGGTGGTGTGGGTTAAGGTGCTGGACACTCCCACATAGCTGACCATGGCTCGAGTCCTGGACGTGGTGGCTTTCTCTCTCTCGTCAAATTAAAATAAAATGAATGAATAAAAATAAATAAATAATTATTATTTTTAAAAAAAGTGTGTGTTGTACAAGAAGAGCTTTAACAACTACCACTCGGAACTCCTTAATCCTGCCTCTCTCTCTCTCACCACCTCACCCATTTTTCTACTCCCCTTCACATCAAAACCACGTAAGTTCTCCAGAGTTGCTGATTCCACATCAGCTCCAATCTGTCTTCACAACAGTCTGGGTTAGGCTTCTGCCACACCTACCCGAGGAGCAAAGTCATTTTTTTCAAACTGATCTAGAAACTCAAGGTCACCTCCCCTTCCTCCTGACCTGTCGGTGTCTGTGACAGTTGTCCACTCTCCTCCTAATGCTTTCCTGACATCACCTCTCCTGCTGCGCAAGTTTCTTCAGATAATTCCTTTCCGTTTTCTGAAGGCTTATCTGGACCCCCTTCCTATCTGCATCTAAATCCTCTTTGGGTCACTATGGGCCTTTAGCATCTGGGATGGAGTAGATGCTCAGTGGAAGGTACGGGAACTAAAATACTAGTACCAACACGATAGGGTGGTGTGCGAATAAACAGACCAAGGGTGAGTCATAAAGTAATGGCTACCTTCATAATAATAGTAATAATGAAGTGATGGCTACTTCCTAATGAGTGTTTACTATGTGCTAAGCACAGTTCATGTCTTTTTAAAGAATTATTTTTATTACCTTACCTTTCTTTCTTTTCCCCTTTCTTTCTTTATTGACTAGAGAGGGGCAGAGCGAGACAAAGTGAGAAAGCAAGCTGCCAGGTCTGGGACTTGAACCGCAGTCGACCATGTTAGCGCCCTTAACTACTATGCCACCTGCCAGCCCCCACAGCTCACGTATTATCTCACTGATTTCTCCCAATCATCTAGGAACTTTCATTAATACTATTTTAGGGAAAAGGGGGTTGAGACTCAGACAAAATGACTTGTCTAAGGTGACATTAAGTGAATGAATTCATCCTCACTTTGGCCTTTTGGACTCAAAATCTGTTCTCACGATCACCAGATTGACGTCATATGTAGGAAAATGTAAACTATAAAAGACAGTGCTACTTATTCCCAGCACGCAGCATGGTGACTTTTGTTTTTGAGAGACTTTTGCTATAGGGCACGTACACTTGCTAGAGACACAGAGACGAAGTGGGCAATCACCCCCGGGGGGGATGGCCACGCCGCAATCCCTTCTCCCCTTCCACGCTCCTCTTGGGATTTTGGGCACGCACACATACAGCCAGTTGTGAGTTCAAGCCAGGACTCAAAATATGTGGTTAGCCATGTTTGACCTTAACCACTGCGCCACCTGCCAGACCCCACAGTGTGGCAATTTACACACAGTAGGTACCCAGAAGTATTTCCAGAATTGAGGCAGGGTGGGAAGGAAGTCTGGAGGTCCTCTGAGAAACAGCCTGCCACTTCATGCAAGTTGTGACGCTCATCAGTCAATATAGACATGTTAAGACAGAATTATCCAGAAACTGCCTAACATGGTTTCTGTTCTTCCTTCTTCAGCTAAATCCCCACAGCTGGAACTGTTGGGTGAATAAACACCGTTATCCCAGGAAGCTGCAGATGGCTTTGTTCCTAAATCACCTCCAGTCTGACGGGCCTGGGCCTGCTTCTAGAGTCGGAGATCTTCTTTAGTTACTAAAGTAGCTTTGGAGTTTTCGTTGTTTTTTTGTGTCTTTGGACATACACGAGAACTCTAAAAGAAGCCACAGCTAAACCTTTTGCTACACTGAATTCTACCATCTTCTTCCTTGAGCTTCCTGACTCCATATTCTGACGTTTTAGTGGGATTCATTTAAAGAGTCTTTGCTACCAAGAGTACCAGGAGTCAAGGAGCAACACGTGGTAATTCCATCTTCCCCATCATTCAACTGGCTTAGAGGTCACTTCCAGGGAAGTTGCCAGGTAGGAATACCCTCTCTTTCCTATGACTTAATATTCCCCATTTTCAGACTTTTAGTTTCGGTGGAATTGAGTCCCATCCCAGGTCCAGAGGAAAGGATTCTGATTGGCTGAAGCCAAACTGCAGCCTTGGTTATATTCATTGTTTGAGGATGGGCCCTTGATTCAATTTGGCCACTGCTTTCTATAGAACATGAATCAAAATAAACTGCCCAAAGCGGGGTGGTCCAGAAAGTACTTTTGGAAAATGCAGTGAACACTATTCCGTCTTGTAGGCTCATTTTCTCAACAAGCTTATGTGTCAATTGTCCTGTCTCTGCTCAGATTGTTCAACTGCTCCTTCCCACCTAGGGGTTTCTCTGGTTTTTTGTTTTTATTTTTTAAGAGGTTTTTGCCTTAAGGCATATGCACTCACTGGAGAGAAAGAGACAGAGATAATGAGAGAGAAAGTGAGAAATCACCCCTCCAGGGGACCAGTGGTTAGCATAAAGGCTATGTCGCTGGACTCCCACGTAGTTGACTGCATTTGAGTTCCGGATCCGGTGACTTGAACTCACGCCGGGCGCATGTGCGTGTGTGCCCAAGATCCCAAGAGGAGAATGGAGGAGAAGGGATGAAGGGATTGTGGTGTGGCCATCTCCCCCGGGGGGTGATTTCTTACTTTCTGTCTTTCTGTCTCTCTCTGTCTTTCTAGTGAGCGCATGTGCCCTACAGCAAAAAAAAAAAAAAAACAAAAAACAAAAAACAAAACAACAACAACAACAACAAAAACTCTCCAAAAAAAGAAAAAAAAAAAAAAGAAATCACCCCCCCAGGAGGCGGGCCAAACGGCAATCCAGGGATCCTGGGCACGCACGCACACATACTCAACCTGAGTTTCAAGCCACTGGGTTGGGGACTCGAACCACAGACAGCCATATGGGAGTCCAGAGATGTAACGGCTACGCCATCTGCTGGCCCCGATTACTCTGGTTTTAAAAATGCCTAGATGTCTCGCACTTATTTTTTTCTTTGAAAGTAAAATCTACGTGAAGCCCACACCTTCTCTATCTCACCCCCCCATCTGCTGCCTTCAGGAGCTGAAGCGGTATTTTGTCCCTCCACTCCCTAACCTCTCATTCTCTTCCATCACTCCCTTACTGGACAGCCCTAAGGTCACCCAACAGCCTGCATGTCAAAGGTCACATGGACTTTTCCAGCTTTCACCTCCTGCCACTCCACAGTAGAATTTGACACTGTTGGCCTCTTAGAAGTATGCTCTTGCTGGGACCAGCAGTTAGCGTAATGGCTTTGTTGCTGAACTCTCATGTAGCCGACCGCGGTTCGAGTCCCAGACCTGGTGGCTTAAACTCATGCCGGGCACATGTGTGTGAGTGCCCAAGATCCCGAGAGGAGAAGGGATTGTGGTGTGGCCATCCCCCTGGGGGGTGATTTCTCGCTTTCTGTCTCTCTGTCTTTCTGGTGAGCACATGCACCCTATAGAAAAAACCTCTAAAAAAAAAAAAAGGATAAAATTGAAAACACCTACAACATTT